CATTCTGCGACCTCTGCTGTAGGCCCGCGTGCTGGCCAGCGCACAGCTCCTAGCTCACCAAACGCCCTGACCCCAGGGTATGGCTCCGGCCACTTTGCCACATCATAAAACTGTGCTGTTTATTCCTTTCCCGTTCCCACTTGACTCACTCATGCCCTGCACATACCAAACACCAAGGAATGTGCTCTCTGCTCAATGTCCTCCTTCTCAAGGATGTTTACAGCTCTGAAGACTGCATGATAATGTCCAGCTCACTTCTCTTCTTCCGGTCACACACTGTTTTCATGGGAGAAGAAAAAAAGTGGTCACCTCAAACACAACGATGATTTTCACTGAAACACTTCAACTACAATACCAACGGTAACACGATTTCCCCTGACATTGACTCTACTTGTATCAACTATGGAGACAGAAACCTCAACTGCATGCTCAAACTTACTCCCAGTGGGCCGTCACCAATGGGTTCTGGGAAGGTGACTGGCAATTCTTCCCTTGCCGATCTTCACAGCCAACCCAACTCCCCTTCCACACGTTAGGGGTATAGGTGCTACATGACTTCTAAGATCTCACTCAGTCCAAAACAAACTGGCCATTCCCTCACCACCGGATTGGCCTCTTCCAACGGCCACCACTGGAGCTGGTATCCTGATCTTCAGGAGGAAAATATATGGCAAATGCAGTCATGGAGGTCTCACTACCGTGACCTGCACGCTCGTGGGCCCCTTGCCCTCATTGCACAAATGGCAAAACCAGGCCGCCAAGGGAAAGGGACAGGTACACACTCACATACGACTGCAGGTACACAGTCACATACGACTGCAGGTGCAGCTGCATTGAAACAAACACGGGTCTTCCCCATCTCCCCCGAACCAGGACACATGCAAGGCTTTCAGAAGTATGAGGTCGTGTGGCAATCTGGGAAACCCAGCGCTGGCCGGAACGCCCCTGGAGCCTGCAAGGAATTCCTTCCCTGGCCTCTCCTGCGAACCCCCAGGCAGGTCCCTTGTACCAAGCCGGCCCTCAGAGCCTTGCGTGAAAGCAAAGGGCTGATTCCCACCACTTCCCACAGCGTCAAGGTCATCACTTCACCTGTATAATTACAACATCCATGGGGGGAGGGAGTACATTTACAAGATAAAGGATCTCTCTCAAACAGACTTCTCCCAATACATTTTTTTCCCCATAATTACAGTTTTCACAGCTCATGTGATGGCAAAGCTGCCCACTTAAGAAAAATTAGGACTCCTCGCAGGCAGAAGAGGATTCCCCAGGGGACAACACTAGCTACTTTGCTTCCACAGCGCCACCTCCCCCCACCCCCGCAAAAAAACTCTGCCATAGACCTCTCCAGCGGCCTCCTGCACGGCAGCCGACTTCACTTATGATGACCAAAGTCACCTCTTTTTATTCAAACCATTACATATGTCATTCAATGTGTGGTTCTCCCGCCAGTCCCAAGACGTTACAGTTCGGGGAGATACAAACAAGCGAATGCATTGCAGATGTACAGGAAAACCACCGCCTACTGAGTCACAACCAGCGCGCTCCCAAACTCCAGCCTCACAGCGCCTGCACGTCACGTTGCTCTGGCAGCCATCCCTTCCCTCTGCCCTTTCCACACTCCCTGGCAAGGTAACACGATTGCAGGAGCCACGAGCACAGAGCACACACACCCACCTCATTTCACTTCGGAGCACGTCCGGCCCTCTCACGCGTCACCTTCACCATCGGCACAGGCCTGCGTACCCACACACCAGTGCGCCTTTCTTTTTCTGCCCTGCCTGCTTCATATTATCGATTGCTCCTTTGGCCTGTTTACACGTTCCCATCGGTGGCTCATTACTGCCCAACTGTGAGCTCAGGGAAGAGTCACCACAAAGGCAGCCCTCGCTTCTTGGAGGCCATTACAGGTGGTTCCGCTTCTTACAAAGATCCATTCCGCTTGCACTCTGCCTAATGTGTTCCGTGTCTCCCCGGAGAAGCCCCAGCAGCTGGATGTCGTGTGGGCTGCCGGGCCCTTCCGGAGCCTTCCTGGAGCAGCCTGCACACTGAGGGACTTCTCCGTAAGGATTTCATTTAGGGTGCCGCTTCCTCACACGTGCATGCTCTGATCACCTCAAGTAGCTAAGATCTTGGACAAGTGTGCCTCTCCTTACAAAGTGTGCATTGACATTGGCTCAGCTTTGCCTTCAGCCCCTGGACCCCAGCGTTCTCTCACAACGGGGCTGCCAGGCACTTCACAAAGGCCGAGGGGTTGCTGATGACGTCTGGGAGAAGTGTGCTTCACGGGCAGGCAGAGCACGCCGACCGTGTGAGGGCCCATGTCAGCTTTTGTTACAGTGGCAGGAGCCGCTCCAGCAGCCTGGCCAGCATATGGCACTGGTATCTCTGTCAGCATCTCTGTTGTCTGTCACCACACACAATCCTCTCTCCATCTCCAGGCCTGGCGGTGTCTTTCACATTCACTTCTTACCAGTACAGACACCAGCTCTACGCCCCATCACGCAGCCCCTTTGTTTCCAGGCTGCCTTTTTGTCATTAATGCGCTTGCTGTCTATTTACATCTCACAGTGACCGCAGCTTCTGTTTCTCTGTCAAGAGCTCACTGACAATATTAATACCTCATGTCCTTGCCTCGTTTTCGACGCTCTGACACCTTGCCGCATGCTCCACCTTTCAGCACACAGCCCTCTCTCATCAGGTTGTCTACAAATTTTCTGGCTTCTGAGCCCAAAGGAACAGGCCACACCTAAACTGGCACTTTTAGCGACTGTGACCACAACAAAAGGCTCACTTCCCGCCACGGACCACAGTCTGGGAGTGTCTGGCCATCCTGTCTGTTTCCGAAGGCCGCTGGCCTTCCACGTCACATTCGCACAAGATTCACCGTTGCAGTTCACCGCACGCACACCGTAGAGAGAAGGGGTTCCATCCCTGCCCTCCCTGAAAGCTCACTTGAAAGAACGCACCTGCTCCTGACGAGGACTCTGTGTATCTGTGTGGCCGCCTTTCGGTCTTTTACTCACAACAAACACTCTGTTTCTCATGATCTCCAGGTGCCCCACCCATTTTGTTCTCTAAAAACTCATGTTCTCCTGGCCTTACATAAACAAATGAGCATCCCTCCATCTCTCACACAAGGCTTCTTGGATTATAAACCAAAATGTGGACACATTTTAAGGAAGTGCCTGCTGGTTCCTCACATCCTCTCACACCCACCATCCTATAGGGGATCCTGTTCCTGAGGTGACAGTCTGACCTGTAGCGCCCACACATGCATTCCTGGCATTGCTGGTGATCTTACTTTGATCCCAGCCACTACATCATTCAGGCCCGTGAAGGGAAGGAAGAGTTCTGTGCCAGCCGCCAACCGACGAATCCAGCCTCCCTGACTTGTCCCAGGGAGGCTGCCTGCAAACTGACTTTCCACACACTGCACGGATAATGACAAGTGGACATTTGGGATTGGGCCAAACAGACAAAGTGCAGCTAAAGAGGAAAAGAGGTCTATGGCACATCGCTCATGGGACTGTAGCAGAAACTAGCAGTGATGGAGGGAGCCCAAGGAAGGAGGTCACGCTCTCCCTTTGGCCACCATGTCCAGCTTCACCCCATGTCATCCACGCTTGGAAGCACCTACCCTGGCCTCCACAGTTTCATACCATTCCTGCAAATCACGATGAATATGCTTTAACGTACAAACATGTCTCACACAATCACAACAACACTGACCATTTAGAATTCATGATGTCACCTTTCCTGGATCATTTCCACCTCCACTTTATCCTAAAAGGCCAACTGATGCTGATCCTTCCTTTCCACTATCAATAAGATGGGAAACAAGAATCATGCCTACAGGTAGCTACTTTCTCACACACACACACACACACACACACACACACACACACACTTGTGGCCTCATGACTGCAGGTTTCATAAGCACTTCTTTCCCTTCTCTGCTGATAACACACAGCCCTGATTCAGGGCCCTGTTTACAGTAACACAACTTTGGAAAGCTGACTTCTCACCTTCCTTTTCTACAATGACAAGACCACACAATATGGCAGACAGTGCAAAGAACTTACATTTTCTGGGAAACACTCATTTCTCCTGCTGGCAACTACTACTACACTTTCATGAAATCCATGCTAGTTCATTTCCTATGCACATTTACAATACACCCTTCCTCTCCAACTTTCATACTACTCCAGGGGTATGCTTCACAGCTACTTCTGCGCGCAATCTCCTACAATGACACACATTCATTTCAAACTCTATGGAGCCATACAATTCTTTACAGTATGACTGAACACGAGAATCAAATGCTTCCACTGGACACTGGAGGTTAGGAGACCCCTATGATGCAGCCATTGAAAATGGCTGCCTTGTGTTCCTGTCCGTGTCACCTCTCCTCAACACCACCCTTCCTCCCTATTCATGAAGCATGCGCTTCCCTCTCCTGGCCTTTGCAAGGTTTCCTCTGCACATTAGCACTATGCATGCATGTGTAAGGATTTGAAAATACTCCCATTCTGAAAAGCTTGCCCGGATCGCTGGCTACACCTGGGCCCATCTTTCAAGGATACAGTCCCCATGCTTACACACTCGACTACAGGAACCCAGAGCGAGAGGAGGTGATGCTTCCTTTCCAACTGGGTCACACTACACAAATGTCGACCATGTGAAAGAGAAGCCACACACGACACATGTTATTCCCACAATCCTATGCTCTCATGACACTTTCTTTGAATGTCAACTCGGACGACAAGGAGGGAAAGACCCACCTTTCTGAGCCTGTGTCCGTTTCCGGCCCAGTGTTTCTCTCCTGCCACTCACGGCACCTGTCATCCCATATCTACTTAAACCGCCCCTTCCTTATGCTACGTCGCCTAATATTACACTCATTGAAGATGACCACGTGCATTGCACTTCTGCTGGGCGCCACCTACATGTCCCACTTATACTCATGCACCACCTGTAATGTTGTGTTTCCTTTACAGGTGTCCTCGGGAAGTGTCAATACATTTATTACGGCAAAAACTCCGAAGGGAACAGGTTTATCCGAGATGACCAGCTCTGACACCAAATTGGGGAGGCCTTCACCTGTGTGCCGCCATGCATGGAAAACACAAAACCCAAATAAAAAACACACAAGGGAAAAAAAGGCCTACGTTGCATCTCTGTGGTAAGGCTATGACTTCAGCTTTCGCTACCTTCGGCTGACTTTGCCAGGCCTGTCAGGATCATCCTTCTGCCTTACACTGAGCGGTCACATGGAGATTGACATGATTGCCCTTAAGCAGGTCTCATCCACCAGGGTGACAGACAGCAGCCGGGAAGCACCGGGGCTGACAGGATGAACACCATGATAGATTGCCTGGTCCCTCCACAGCTCACAGGGGAGCAGAGGTCACACCTGAGCCCTCCCTGAGTGTGCTCAGTGGCTAGCGTCCAGCACCACAGCATGTCTTCAGCTTCACTACTGCGGAGAGATCCCTCTGATACCATTGTGCTGTGACTTCATTCTTCGTGTAATAGTCACAGTTGCGAGGAAGGCCACACTCCCTTCATCCCTTTAAATCACCGTCTCTCACAGCCCCGTTCCCCTCCCCCTACCATTCTTTGCCATCTTCATCACAGCCACTGCTTTTCAGTGGGCCATTTTCACAGAGAACAGAAGGTATCAGTTCTCAGCCGGGTCATACGTTTATGGCCAGCTTCATGTTCTCACAATTCCTACTTGGCCGTAAATAGCTTCCCCAAATCCCTGACTCTGAAAGCTTTCACTTTACCTTGCTGCCTTCATTCTGAATGCACTCCGAGCCCTGGCTGCTACAGTCACGACTCTTTCCCAACGCCAGCCTCGCGAGGAAGGTGATTTCTTCTCCTTGTGTAAGTATCTTTGGGTGCTTTCCAATGAAGGTCACATTGCATTACAATACTGTGTACCTTTCACGTGTGCATGCTTGACTTTGCAGGTGTCCTCGGGAAGTGTCAATACACTTGAACACGTGTTCATGCTCTTTACCTTTCCTGTTCATTTTGAACACACCAAACACATCCACCTACGTGTACAGCCATATCGCTGTATGCAGGTAGGTCACTCCACTGGGGACTGTCGATAGGTGGTGAGGTCAAACATAGAGTGATGGGTCAGGAAGTTCGAAAACAACATGAACACTGTGCAAAATCCCCACAACACAAGTCTTTTCTCTCTTCTCTCATGACGAACTGCAAGCCTCTTATTTTTGGATCTCTCTCACACTATCTCACAAGTGAGGCCCCTTCTTTGTAGGATGGTGGACTACATCTCTGAGGATGTACTCCACACCTGGTATGCAAGGGAAATACTCATCACCCTAACAGCTGCCTCCAATTTCACCAGTACCCCATATGTCATTCCACAAGACACTGGGAAGGCGAGTTGCTTCACATACAATAGCTCTCGCTTTGATTCCTCGCTTCTACTTACACCAGCCGCTCCTTATACCACGTCTCCTAAGATTACGCTCATTTACGATGAGCAAAACGGCAAGGAGAATCTTTCCAGGCTAGGCACACCACATGACTACACACTTGGTGGTAACAATCTTTCGGGACACATGACGCCCACAGTTCCCACCAAAAGCCAACTTCTCCATTCCACTCCATCCATAGGGCCTCTGGCCTATCGCCTTCATGCAGTCCTTCAATGACTTGCATGACGTCTGCCAGGAGACCCTCTTGTCATGCGTGCAACCTGTGCTCATTGCTTCTGGATACTGAGGATTTGCCTTTATCTTTCCAACGTAGGAAGCAGCTCCATTCACTTCTCTCTGTCTGATCTTCCAACCGCTTTGGGATAATGCTTTCTCTTAGCTGCTTTACGTCCCTCTGCCTCTTTGTTTAGAAGCGATGCCACGTGTTCTCTCCGTGCCCTACTCTGGGCAGCCACAGAGCTGTGCAAGGGCAGCTACACTCGTCCAGTGTCATATGCCATCTAGCAGCACATATATCCTTGTCTTCATAAAAGGCTTTAACCCTGCCTCAAACAATAAAAAAGCACTTGTGAACTGACCACAGCATTTTTCCATCTTTATTTCTTGTACTTGTTTACTTTTCTTAATGTCACAACCATTTGTATCATGCGAAGGAATGTTTCCCTCAATGTGAGCTTTGGAGGCAAACGATATTTCTGCAGTGAGTTATTGACCACATTACTTCCTTCTCTTTCCATTGTTTGTTTTCTTCCCAAATAGCGTCACACCTTTCATTAACATTACCTTAATTGTCATTTACGTAAAGGCCATCGCTATGGCCCATTCATCTTCACGATACAATTACAGTGACTTTTGTTCCTCTTGCACAAGGATAATGATCATGAATCAGTGCTGGGCTGCTTACAGCCCCACTGTTTGTTAGGTGACATTTGCTGCATTACCGCTACACTTGGGTCTCTACTGCCACACCACAGGTGATGTTGCCTGCTTCTCTCACATTCTCTCACATTCATGCCCCACATCTGCTTCTTCAAATTTGGCTATACAAAATAAGACTCCATCCAAGCTCAGAAAAATCTCATCTTTCTTCTCCTTGCTCTTTCTGCCTTTCATCCTCTTCCCCAGAGTTTCTCCTAGGCAGGTTGCGGAACATGACCTCAGGTCTCCTCTGTCTCAACACAAGGATCTCACTCAAAGGCCCAATGCCACACGATGCAAGTCGGAAGTCCTCTGCTGCCTCACCAATGTCAGGGCAACGCTCTCTGTCTCTCCTAACGTAATATTACATATAACAATGTGCTCCTTGGCGGAATGCTGTTTTTGGTGGTAGGGAATCCTATTAAAAGTACAGCTATTACAATCATTTGCTTTTACTTTTCCCAGTCTTACTCATAAAGCCTCCATCTGTTTGTGCCTTTAAATAGAGGCACATTATAAGAGATTATCACTTGATCAGCCTGCACGTTGGAGTGCTGTGCCTTTCCACATACTCATGTAGTGTCAGAAATAAGCAAAAGCCAACCACACACTCTGGATGACAGGACTTCTGCTGTGTGTCTTCTAGCCAACATAGATCGTGAACATTTTCACGACAAATTGTCTTTCTGGCCAGTTCTGACACATAAGCTTCCTGTCTTCCCGTTCTCCAGTAATATGCACATGCAAACCAATCCACACAGCTCTTTTCATCAACACAATAACAGTGCCAGCAGATGCCACTCACAAGAGAACTGTAAGTCACATCTGCATCACTGCGCAATGCCCACAGCGACCAACATAGGTCCCACTGAGTCACTTCCTTATTGTCCATCCATCCAGTGTGACAACAGCTGCTGCTGTCTGTGTCACACATGCAAATGACTGACATGTTGTGTGCTACGTGCTCTCATTTCCTTGTCAATGTCTGCCTTGTGGTCCTTTTCAGTATGGTTCCACACATCACAGAGAACACAATACAGTGATGGCCATGCCATTCTTTGGTGACAGCTTCCTCTTGCAAATACAACTGGGACTAGCACAAGCTGAATATCACATTGGAAAGTGTGCCCTGATGCTCTACAGACTCTGAGGACACTTCAAAGACACAGACACCTGCCCACAACTGTTCTCTTCCTACAAGTTTACTGCAAAATTCCCAGCATTCACAGTTTTCCTTGGGGTGATTACAATCCTAACAGTTCCTTTGCCACTTGAAGGGTGGGATAAGGATTACATTATTGCTGCATATTACTCTATTAGCATATGTTACATGTTTTACACATGCTTGCCATAGGGACCAAGAACATGCCACCCAGGACAAAGTTTGCTACAAAGACAGCAAATTCTACTACATCATCTGGGGGACAGTTGTTCAACTACTCATACTATACATTGTAATACATGCAACTATGTCAGGGAAGGGCATGGTGCAAAGTTGGAAGCAGAACAATGGTCAACTCTTACTGACCGCAGATAAACAGGCCGCTGAGGGCTTCCTGACAAAGCAAGCCAAAAGGGTCTTCTGCCTGTGAGGAAAGTTGCCGATGTTCAATACTCGCTGGTCTTTCCACCACAGTTCCTCCAAATGGCATCATTTGGGACGACAGTGAAAAGTGCCATCATTTCCTGTTTCACTCTCCAACACAATGACTTATTGAGAAAGATACACTGGGAAGCACTGTAGCTACACAGGATCGTGTGTGTGAGGACTACATATGCACAGGGAGATTGCGGCCCCGTGTTTCTCAAACGTAACTGGCCTCACTGCTGGGTTCAGCAGGAGACAACTACATCCTTAGGCCATAAAATCAGAAGACCATGTTGTTCCCTGTTCATGCTACAGATTTACATGATAACTCTATTCAGAGGTGCCTACTTCCTTGACACGGTGACACAGATAACACATCTACGTGGCACTGAAGATGCTGCTTCAAGGATTGCACCATCCCTGCCGATATGCCCTATATGTGTGTCTGTGTTCACTGCCAGCTCACGGGAAGCACGATCACATCTAAGTTCCACTAAGTCACCAGACTCAGCATTTACAATCATCTGGAAAAAATACATGCTGCTGTTTTTCCACATTCATTACTTCCCCTACACTTTTCTTTTCTCCATACTGGAAAAAATTTCTTCCATCTTTGAAAAGCCAATGTCACTGAAAGGCGCTGGGAATAATGTCCACTTGAGTGTGATGACAGAGACCAAGTGCACTGTGCTAACTCAACCACACTATTGATTCCATTTCTGGTGCTTTCAAATACATACATTATGTATTATATGTCCCTACAATTTGTACTTATCACAGCATCATGTACATCATTACTATTATTAATATATGAAACTATAACAATGCCATTGCCACTGGAAGCAAAACTTACATGAATGTCATACCCAGGTACAATATATATTTTCTTTCTTCTCATCTCACCATTTCACATCATTTCCCAATAACAGTGGCAGCTACAAAATCTTTGCCAACTTTGCCAGTATTTCACTTAGCACAATACTACTACTACTACTACTACTACTAATAATAATAATAATAACAATAACGATAACAAAAAGGAAAACACACACACACGCACAAACAAACACACAAAACCAATACCAGGCAGTCCTCCTGAATTGCCTGAAAACTGGCTGTGTGTCATGTTTGGAA